ATCAGAAAACAAAAGTTTGAACAAAATGAATGAGCACAGAACAATTAGACCTCTTGCCATGTTGTCATCGTCAACATTGTCGTCCAATTTCCACTAATTTTCATTACCTCAACATGAAGACATGTAAAGCTTTCTTTCTTTTTTTTTTCGTCGTAAAAACACTTTTGCTTTTTTCTTTATTAGCAAATTTGAAAATTGATTAAAAACAAAAATTCTTTGTGTTCAGTTACCACTTTGTTTTTCTCTGCAAGTTTTTTAGTGTTTATAGGGAATCACAAGTTTTTCATTTATCAAGCACAATTTTTTTTGTGTTTAGAAATTACTGACAAGAAACTAATAATAAAAAATGAAAAAATATAAATGATATAAAAGAGAAACTTAAATAATTCGGGTTTGAGAAAAAAATCTCAATACTGACTCTCTTTTTGTGTGTAATCATTGCTAGAAAGAAATTACTGTTTACAGCCAAAAATCTATTTTTGTCATTGTAACTTCACAGCAGTGTTTTGCAAAACCTTTCCAGAAAAAAATTGAACACCAAAAAATAGCTATCAGTATTCAAAAGCTTATTTTTTGTTTTTTGTCAAATTCAAACAAAATTTAGTTTATTTGGTTTACAGCTTTAAAATAAACTTAAATGTTAGCGTATCTGTTAACGAAGAAATTGAGAGAAAAAAACGAAAGAAAAAACAAGGCAAGTTTTGATTAAATAATTTTTGAAAAGCAATAAAAAAAGATATTTTAAATGTTATAAAAAAAACAACAAATTCTGTAATTACTTCAAATGCTGTATCAGATTCTCGTGAAGATAAGTGTAACCTAATGACGGTTCTCAACAACAGCAAAAGTTGTATCGATAATTTGCTGTTCAATAAAAGTTTTGAAATTTTTTTTTCTTCTTGCAACTGTAATTGAAAACAGTAAATTTGTTGCAGTTTTATAATTAGAGCTCAGAAGTGTAGAATACATTCAGAAAAGATTTGCTAAAAATTAAATAAGGTAATTCAATTTTTGCCATAAATTGTGATGCTAAATTTTTTTTTGACTCATTAGATTTATCCAACGAACCACCAAAAATAGACAGCATTACCAAAAAAAAAAAATTGATAGAAGAAATGTAAACATTTTCTGTTTTAAAAGATGATTTTAGTAATTTTCTTTTTTTGCTTTCTCTTTCAGTGTTATTATTGAAGTTGTCAAAAAAATTGGCGATACTTTTCGCACCTCAAATAACTGTTTTGTTACTGTTTTACAGTGAAAAAACAGTGTTTTTTTTCTTGCATTTAGTATTTTTTCCTGTCAAAATATGGAAAAAAAAGAGTTTATTTATAGTAGCAAAAAAAGAAAAAGTTTTCTTATTTTTTGACTATTGTTAAAGGTAAAACCAGGTTTTTTTCCTCTCTTTATTTTTTATTTGCTTTTTACAGCTGATTATTTGTGTTGTCTACCGACCGACAATACTTTAAAAATTGTGTATTTTTGAATTTGTTAAACAATTTATCAAATTTTTTTCTGTTATCTTTGTAAAATGCTATATCAACGATTTAAAAAACTGTTTATATACCGACAGCATGACCGCTGATACCCAAACATGACGAGGACATTGCACATCAGTTAAAAAACCGGAAGAACAAGGCCGTTGTTCTAATCGAAACGTGTTGTTAATACAGATAAAATCCTAATTATCTGAGCAGACCGATGAATTTATTAAATGCTTTTTTTTTCTTCCGCTACTTATCTATTGAAAGACAGACATAGATTTCTTATGTTTTATCCTAAAATTAGTAGACATCACTAATTAATTACATTAATTTTAAATCTGTAAAATTTGCTATTCTTCTGCAACTGATACTATTATCTAATGGCAAGCACTAATACAGCTTTTCTAAGACTAATTAGTTTACAGTTTTATTTAAGTAAGGATTCATTTTTAGTTTATTTTGTGTCAAAATAACAATGAATTTAAAATCACTAAAATTGCATTAACAAATAAACTGAGAAAGAAAAAAAAATAAAAACAGCGCCTAATTTGTAGATAAAAATCATAGTCTAAAGTGTAGACTGCTGAAACGATAGGATAAGAAGCGCTAAAAAGTCATTGATAGCTGCCAATTCATTTTGAGAACAAACACAGAATGTGAAGAGCAGAACAATTTTCGATACAATGTTAACAAGATTATAAAAAAGACGAGAAGAATAAGGTAGTGATGACTAAATAAATTAGCCCTATAAGAAGATTAACACTAAAAAGACTTTTTTAAGCGAAATCGAGATTAAGACTAAAAAGTACATGATGTAGTATCTCTTGTCTTTATAACTCTTGTTTTGTTTAGCTAGCAAAAAGTTAATTTCTTATACCTAAGTTTATGTGATTTATTGGTTATGGTGACAGTAATGTTTCTGTGATGTTCGGTAATTTGTTTCTTCTGTTTTCGTCACTTCTTGTTTTGCTGAAAACATTACAGATTTTAATTGATAGAAAGTACCGAATAAGAAAGAAAACAGAACAAGAAAGAAACCTGTAATGGCAAAGAATTTTTTTTTAGAAGGACACAAACTACGGTACGCTGTTTGACTAATTCTATTATAAGGCCAACCATCTCTACTGGAGAGGAGCACCCACTTTTGCAGTTCCTTTTAAAAGCATTATACAAACACAGAGGCGTCGTGAATGGTGTCCCTAATGTCGACCGGCTCAGGTTTGCAGGCTGAAGGAGAAGAGGGGAAAGGCGGTGGGAGAGGAGGAGGGAAGAAAAGAGGATTAGGAGGTGGTGATGAATCAGCAACTGCTTTTATTGGATTTCCACCATTTATGACGCAGTTCAGCTTTAATAGTGGAAAACTAAAAGCCTTTCTGTATGTAATTAGGTTAAAGTTGACTGTAGTGTTATGTTTCGTTGATTAGAAAAAGTCTAAAGCAGAGAAGAAAAATTTATTCTTCCTTACAGCTCGAAAAAAAAAAAACTATTGAAAAAATAACAAGAAATTATGTCCAGCACAAAAAAACAAAAATACATATGTAATGTTTATGATGTTTTTTTTTCTTTTGGCCTTGCTCAACTTTGTTTTCTTTGAAAATGCAGAAAAAAAAAGAAAAGAAGCAAAAACAAATAGCAGTGAGGAAAATGAAAGCTGGAAAAAAAGTTTAAGTGCTAAATATTTAATTAAGTTAGCGAGCCAACAAAAGAATGCCATCAACTATGTAGCGGTTATTACCAAGTGTATTGGACTTCCGCTCGTCTACAATCATGGAATACTAATAAGGTTTTCCATTTAAATACATGTATCTACATGGTCAAGCAGTAGTGCTTCCTCTTCTTTTCTTTTGTTTTTTCCTCCACCCTTGTTTTCAACACTTTTTACCATCATTATCCTCGGCTGTTGATAAGTAATGGAAATCGATGTATATACACACTCGTAAACACGTATCTGAACATAGATGTATCTCTCTCGTACTAGTTGAAAATTATTAGTTAAAAATTCACATCAAGTTTTGCATTTTAAGTTGTTTTTGTCGCCTTGTTTGATGCAGTTTATTACTTTGATAAGTGTCAATAAGTCAGACCTTGAGAAACTATTAGAATAAAGCAGAACAAAAGCAAAAACAAAAAAAAAGTGAGCAGAAAAAAACACTAAAGTTAAACGTAACAGAATGTTTTCTGCAATTTTTTTTTCTTTCTATATTTTCGTTTTTTTTT